AGGAGTAACTCTGTGAAAGAAACAGAGTCTTCAAATATCGAAAACCTTTTAAGTGAATCAAATTATGCCATAGAATCTCCACTGATAGAAATTCCATGCTTGAATAATGAGAGTATAGCAGTAGGAATATGCTGTTGACCACCTGACCAGAATGGTGGTGGTGACTATGAAATGCTCAGGGAGATTAGAGAGGCTGTTAAAATAGAAAACTCAATAATAATAACAATTGGGGTTTTCAACTATCTCCATATTTACTGTGTAGGGGTCACCTCAGGATGGATGCAGAGGTTAAGTTTTTAGAAACCATTAATAGCTGCTTATTGGAGCAGCTAGTCCTGGAACCCACAAGGGGAGAGGGAATTCTTGATTTAGTCCTAAGTGACAGACAGGATCTGGTCCAAGAAGTGAACCACTTGGTAATAGAGACCATCATGTAATTAAATTTAACATCATAGCGAGGGGGGAAAGTACCAACAACACCACCACAGTAGCATTTAACTTCAGAAAGAGAAACTACACAAAAGTGAGAAAGTTACATGGAAACTTTTTTAAAATACCATAATAGAGGCTCAAAATAAATGTGTACCCCCAAATGGGGACAAAAAGAAAAGTAAGTGGAGTAAGAAACTACCACCATGGCTAAAGAGTAAATAAGGTAATTAGAGGTTAAAAAAGGGCATCCTTTAAACACTGGAAGTCAAACCCTACTGAGAAAAATAAAAGGAGCATAAATTCTGGTAAGTCAAGTTTGAAAATATAAAAGGCAGGCCAAAAAAAATAATTCGAGGAGCAACTACAAAAAGTTACTAAAACTAACACCAATTTTTTTTTTGAAGTACATGCATGCGTCAAGCACCTTCCCAGACCACCCCACGTTGATGTCAGTGAAACACCCACGGTGATCAACAAGCGCCTGCAATACCATGTACCTCTTTCTATTGATGTACTCCACTGAAAGATGGTCCGGACCCAAAATTGGAATGCGTGTTCCATCTGTTGCCCCTCTACAGTTAGGGAATCCCATTTCCACAAAAACATCCACTCTTTCACACACATTGCCAAGAGTCACGGTTCTTCATAGCACAATGCGATTAAGGGCCCTGCGCACTTGTGTTAACAGCTCCTACGGTCAACTTCCCACCTCCAACTTGATTTGTGACTGACTGGCAGCAGTCCAGGGTCACCAGCTTCCACGCAGTGCTCACCACACACTTCTCCCTGAGTCTGCAGCTCTTATTCGGTGTCCTTGCACCGCAGGGCTGGGGCGAGCTCTGCACACAGTTCCGGGAAGGTGGCTTTCCTCACCCAAAAGTTCTGCAACCACTCTGCATTGTTATGCATGTCTGCGATGACTAGCAATCCCACCACTCTGTGCCTGTTTCCTGTGCGCCAAAGCAATAGTCTACCACGTGCAGCTGCTCTGTGAATGCCAAAAGTAATCTAGTGTTGCTTCTTTCTGTGGCATACAGCAGGTCAGGCAACTCTGATTCCTGTTCCGATTGGTAGCTCATGATTAACTGCATGACCATCCGCGATGTGTTCATAACAGTGACCACAACAGTAGAGAGCAGTGCGGGATCCATCCTTTCACACACAGATGGCAGGCGCACAGTACACAGAAATGCCGTGAAAAGCAGTCAGAAGACTGTGGAATGCTGGGACAGAAAATAATACATCCTATGATGCGCTGTGATCAACTCCACATTCCCACAAGTCCTAGCTGCTGAAAGTGGCAAGTTGCACACTGGGATAGGTACACACAGTGCACTGCTCTCAGTCTTGATGCTAGAGACCCAAGTGTGGACGTGCTCTGCCGACAAAGGGAGGGTAGTGCAACATGCAATAGCGATAAAATTATAGTGCTTTTTGATCGTCGACACAACTTTTGTCAAAAAGCCTCTAGTGTAGACAAGGCCTAAGAGAACTAGTAGGGACAGTCTGAAGGGAAAAAATAGCTCAGAAAAACTGGTAGTTTGTCAAGAACATAATACCAAAGGCATAACTGACATGAAGGAGAGAAAATAAGGATAGTAAGAAGCCAAGATAGCACCACAGGAGCTTTTCAATGACCTGAAAATAAAATGGAATCCTACAAAAGGTGGAAATGCGGACAAATTGCAGTGCAGTATAGGAGGAGAGCACAAGCATGTAGGGACAAAATCTAAAAGGCTAAGTCACAAATAACTTTTACACCTATCAAGGGATAGAAAAGACAAGAAACGGTTCTATACATACATTAGGAGCTAGAGAAAGACAAAGGAAGGTGTAACTCCTCTAGTTAGCAGGGAAGAAAAACTAGTAACTGATGACATCAAGAAAGCTCAAGTATTTAATGCCTATTTTGCTTCAGTCTTTACTAAAAAAGGTAAATGGTGACCTTAAGCTTAACACAATTAATGTTAACAATGAAGGGGCAGGAAGAGAAGCCAACATAGGAGAACAGGTTGAAGAATATTTAGATAAGTTGAATGTGTGCAAGTCAGCAGAGCTTGATTAAATTCCCTTTAGGGTATCCAAGAAACTTGCTGAAGCAGTTTCAGAACCATTAGCAATTATCTGGAGGACTAATTAGGTCTCTGAAGACTACAGAAGGGCAAACTTAGTACACCTCTACCTCAATAGAACGCTGTCCTCGGGAGCCAAAAAAATCTTACCGCGTTATAGGTGAAACCGCGTTATATCGAACTTGCTTTGATCCGCCGGAGTGCGCAGCCCCGCCCCCCCGGAGCGCTGCTTTACCGCGTTATATCCAAATTGGTGTTATATCGGGTCGCGTTATATTGGGGTAGAGGTGTACCTATCTTTAAACACAGGAACAAAAAAAATACTTGGTTAATTAAAGAGCAGTCAATCCTTACTTCAATACCTGGAAAGATACTGAAACAAAATGATTAAACAAACAATTTGTAAGCATCTAGAGAATAATAGTGTAATAAGTTATAGCCAGCATGGATTTATCAAATCATGCCAAGCCAACCTGACTTCCTTCTTTGACAGGCCTAGTGGCTGGGGGAACAGCAGATGTGATATAGCTTTACTTTAGTAAAGTTTTTGACATAGTCCCATATGATATTCTCACAAACTAGAGAAATATGGTCTAGGTAGAGTCACAACTAGTTGAAAGACTGTACTTAACAAGTAGTTATCAATAGTTTGTCAAACTTGGAGGGTGTATTTTGTGGGGTCCTGCAGGGATAAGTTCTAGGTCCAGTACTATGCAATGTTTTCATTAGTGACTTGGGGTATGTCTACACTACAGGATTAATCCGAATTTAGATAATTCGAATTTGGGAAACAGGTTGTATAAATTCGATTGTGCGCGGCCACACTAAGCACCTTAATTCGGTTTTTAACCACATTAATTCGGTGGTGTGCGGCCACACTACCCCATTAATTTAAACACAGTAATTCGGTGGTGTGCGGCCACACTAACCCTAATTCGAATTAACAAAATCGATTTAGGCTCTACTCCGTTCGTCGAGGTGGAGTACAGAAATCGATTTAAAGGGCCCTTTAATTCGAATTAACTGGCTCTGTAGTGTGGACGGGTGAAGGGTTAATTCGGATTAACGCTGCTAAATCCGAATTAATCCCGTAGTGTAGACCAGGCCTTGGTTGGATAAGAGAGTTGAGAGTATGCTTCTAAAATCTGCAGATGACACCAAGCTGAGAGGGATTGCGAGAACTTTGGTGGAGAGGATTAGAATTCAAAATGACCTTTACAAATTGGAGAATTGGACTGAATGAACAAGATTAAATTCAATAAAGGCAAGTGCAATATTCTTCACTTGAGAAGGAAATAAAATCAAAGGCACAACTAGAAAATGGGGAATAACTGGTTAAGTGCTGAAAAGGATCGTGGTTATAGCAGTCAACAATGTGATGCAGCTGCAAAAGAGGATATCATTCTGGTGTCTATTAACAGGAATTTGATCTGTAAAATATTGAATGTAATTGTCCCACTCTACTCAGCACTGGGTGGAGCCTCAGCTGGAGTATTGTGTCCATTTCTGGGTACCACACTTTAGGAAAGATGTGGAGAAATTCAAGATAGTCCAAAGGAGAGCAACAAAAATAATGAACGCATTACAGAACCTAACCCAAGAAGAAAGGTTTAAAAACAACAACAAACTGGCATGTTTAGTCTTGAGAAAAGAAGATTGAGGGGGGGACATAGAAATATATCACATCAAGTGCTCCCCCCATCCACAAGGCTTGTTACCCTGTCAAAGACTGATGTTAGGTTGGTTTGACATGATTTATTCTTGACAAATCTATGGTGACAAGTACTTCACCTTATTTTCTTCAAGATGCTTACAAACTGATTATTGATTATTTGGTCTAGTATCTTTCCAATTACTAAAATTAAGCTGACTGGTGTATAATTCTGTGGGCCATCCATATTTCCTTTTTATAGATAAGTACTATATTTGCCCTTTTCCAGTTCTCTGGGATATCTCCCACCCTTCATGAGTTCTCAAAGATAATTGCCAGTGGCTCAGGGTTCTCTTCAGCCAGTTCCCTAAGTATTCTTGGATGTATTTCATCACATCCTGCTGACTTGAAGGCATCTTCCAAGCTTGTTGATATTGACTCAGAGGTCTCTTCAGCCAGGTCCTTAATGAGCTTATTATGCAGCAAAGGATATTTAGGTTAGATATTAGGGGAAAGTTTCTAACTCTAAGGACAGTTTACTCTGGAATAGACTTCTAAGGAAAGAAGTGGACTCCTCATCATTGGAAGTTTTAAAAACCAAGTTGGACAAACACCTGTGAGGGATGATCTAGATTTACTGGGTCCTGTCACAGCACAGGGGGTTGGACTTGATGACTTCTTGAGCTCCCTTCCAGCCCTACATTTCTGTTGTTCTTTGTTTTCTCCCATGCTGCTCATGGGAAGAGCTTCCCATAAATATCCCCAGACCTACCTCATTACATTTGGGAGAACTTCTAACAAGGAGGTCTATGGTCAATGGGGGAGTTGAGGAGAGAACACAAGGAATGGTCCCGGGGAGGGGTGAGATCAGTTAGAGGAAGGAGTGTGGGGGTGACAGTAGTTTGTTACCCAGGGTTTTCAGAACCCCCATCAGGGACAACTTAACTATTTCACTCCCGGTGGTGTTAGGAATAAATCAGTAGGCACACAGCGATTCTGTCTGATCTAGGATTAAATGCAAGTCAGCATGCTCTTGTCTAACACTGCAGTTTATTAGATTTAAGCACACACAGACATAAGCAATAGGTTTAGAACATCCCAGATATTTACCTATATTCTGAGACGGTATTGAGTAATCAACGACAGGTCGGCGCTAGCCAAATGCCTCCCTGCCAGGGAGTAAAGAAAAGTCTCTGACAGGATAGCTCCCGAGGACTGCTTCAAAGTACACTCTATTATCTAAACTTTTTATAATAACTCTGCAAAACACATAGGTCATAATGACCCCTTCTAAATCATCAGTTTTCCTAACTTTCCATGAACTTTTAATATCAGAGGCGTCTAGATTCAAGGCTGTCCATTCACATATCTTCTTTCATTCTCAGTTATTTACTTTTTCCTCCCCTCCTCCCATTCTGATTAGCAAAACCACCAGTAGTTATGACCTTACATCTGAAAGCCGGTCTCCAAATTAATCCTTAGCTATGCGGTGTTCTGTTTCATTAGGTCATAGTGGCTGAGTGCATATAATATGGTTGCAATTAGCTTGATAACATTCTGGGGTATATTCACCCCTCAATCCAGGGCAGCATCGTTGACAGGGGTAGCTACATCTGTGTGTCCTTCCTCGTCTCTCTGAGTGCCCCCCTTCAGCTGTCAGGCCTCATGCCTTTCCCCCTCCTGCAATGTCTGTGGGCCTGCCTCTGTCAGTAAGAAGCAGTTCCAGGAGGACTTACCCTCTTGCTGGAATTTTCCCTTTCTGGGATATGGAGGTACCTGCTCTGGGTTTTAGGAGCCCCTTTGATCATGAGTGTCTGGCTGTGTGTCTTCCCAGTAGACATGGGCACAGTTAAATTCCTCATAAGAAGAGCTGACCCCAGGATTTTACTCATTTAATATGATCTGGAGTTAAAATAACAGAACTTCCTGTGTGGGTGACAAATGTCCCATGAATTCACCTGATCTCACTTATCTTCTTTCCCCTGGGCAGGGTTTCCAGTTTCCAAACCTGATGTCCTCTCCCAACTGGAACGAGGGGAAGAGTCGTGGGCCTCAGATCTCCAGGGCTCAGAGGAAAGAGAGATCCTGAGAGGCATCTGCACAGGTGAGCAATCATTAAACCAACTCAGAAACTGTCAGTACCTGACGGAAACAGCTGGGATTCCCAGCAAAGACCTTGTGAGCTCTCTGAGTTCAGGATTGTCCCCAGCAGGCGTCATATTCTCAGGGCAGATATTGCTCATGGTTTACTACCCATCCTGACTAACTCCTGGCAGTAGTTCCTTCCCTGAACTCGCTTCTCCCTGAGTGTTTGGATGCAAACTGGATGCAGAATTGATCCCCTCTTCTCTCCTCTTTGGGGATTTTTTTTTCCATCTGCAGCTGCTCTTTTGGTTTGTTCTCCCCTATTCCATTCCTGTTTCTGAGGCTTTTCTTTCTCTGTCCCAGCAGGTGATGGGATGCTGAGTGAGACCATGAAGCAGAAAGATGGTGAGCAAGTGGAACCACCTGGGGCGTTATTGCAAAGATGCAAAGGGAGTGTGACCAGGAGTTGTGAGCAGGGAAAGGCCTGTGAGAGTCAGCACATTCCAGAGAAGTGGCAGGGAAACCAGCCAGTGCAGAAATTTGGTAAATCTCTTAATTATCAGGGAACTCAGAAAGGCCTCAAGGAAACCACAGACCAGCAGAGAATCCCCATGGGAGAGAGAAACACATGCACTGAGTGTGGGGAAAAGTTCAGTAGGCACTCACGCCTTATTAGCCATCAGAGAATCCATACTCGAGAGCAACCCTATGAATGCTGTGAGTGCGGGAAAACCTTCACTCAGAGCTCAACCCTTATTAAACATCACAAAGTCCACACAGGGGAGAAACCCTATGAATGCTGTGAGTGCGGGAAAACTTTCACTCGGAGCTCAAACCTCATTGCACATCAGAGAATCCACACAGGGGAGAAACCCTATAAATGCTGTGAATGCGGGAAAACATTCACTCTTAGCTCAACCCTCATTGCACATCAGAGAATCCATACAAGGGAGAAACCCTATGAATGCTGTGAGTGCGGGAAAACCTTCACTCAGCGCTCAAACCTTATTACACATAAGAGGATCCACACAGGGGAGAAACCCTATGCATGTTGTGAATGCAAGAAAACCTTCACTCAAAGGGCATCTCTTATTAGCCATCAGAGAACCCATACAGGGGAGAAACCCTATGAATGCTGGGAGTGCGGGAAAACCTTCATTGTGATCTCAAATCTTATTAAACATCAGAAGAACCACACAGGGGAGAAACCCTACGAATGCTGGGAGTGCGGGAAAACCTTCGCTTGGAGCTCAAACCTTAGTTCACATCAGAGAATCCATACAGAAGAGAAACCGTATAAATGCAGTGAATGCGGGAAAACCTTCACTCAGATCTCCCACCTTATTACACATCAGAGAATCCATACAGGGGAGAAACCCTATGAATGCCGTGAGTGCGGGAAAACCTTCACTCGGAGTTCAATCCTTATTATACATCACAGAATCCATACAGGGGAGAAACCCTACGAGTGCTGTGAGTGCGGGAAAACCTTCACTCAGAGCTCAACCCTTATTACACATCAGAGAATCCACACAAGAAAGAAACCCTATGAATGATGTGAATGCAGGAAACCTTTGCTCATGGCTCACACCTTAATGGACATCAAAGGATCCACAAAGGAGAGATCCTATGAATTCTCTGAGGGTGGGAAATTTTGTCAGAGTTCAGCCCTTATTTATTATCAGAAAAGCTGTAAGGGAGATAAATACCATAAAAACCTTGTTTAGGGCTGAGAAAAGATTTTGTTTTCCTTTTGCTAATTTCCACATAATGAACTTCAAGGCAGCATTTGTGTCATGGTGGTCTCTCAGCTCCCCCAGCTGAGTTGTCTGCTTTTCCTTTTGCACTCACCCTTCCTTGGGGTGAATCCCACAATTTTTTCTTTTTCACCAACTCCTTTGTCCTATGTCATGGAAATGTGTGTCCCTCCAACAGGAATGTCCATCAGCCCCAGATGGGGGAACTGGGAGTCACTTCAACTAGGTACATGGAAGTTAAATCTACCTGGGCCTTGACTGCACTAGGATAGTCCATGGAGTTAGATAGCTGGAGTTAGCTATCCTGATGAAAAAATAGTGTTTTTACAGTAAAGGAAATAACCCATGTATAGTGGCCAGGGAAATTTAGCAAATTTCCTCAAGACCTGACATAACCTCTGTCACTTCTAGTCTAAACAAATTTGGAGCATCATATTCATACCTTTCCTCCCACTGCAAAGTGATTGTTAGTCACCAGGTTCCCTCACTAGGGACAAATTGTCTCATTCCTGGTTGTTCTCACAATGCTCTGGGTTGTGCTGAATCACTGGGTTTTGTATCATTTTTCTTATTTTAAATATAACAAAGAGAAGGAGCAGGATTAGGGATAGGAAAATATGTTTTTTTCAACTTCTGTGACACCTGAAGTGGTGAGTTGGAAGGATTCCCATGTTCAGAATTAGCTCAGCAGTATTTTCTCTGTTTGAGCCGTATAGAATTTATCTTCTACACATTCTACAACTCTGCCTCTCAGTGTGTCATATGATTCAGTGTTCTCAGTCCTCTGCTTGGGAATCACACTTTGTTTTCTTTGATCTTAAAACCTAGTAATTTAGGGCCTGAGATGAAATTGGCAGCGACCTGGAAAGGGAATTTGAATGGATCTCAAACACAGGGCCGTCGTTTGGCGTTTAAATCCCAGTTTCCAACGGTTAGCAAAGGGGATGGGATTGTTTGCAGATGGGAAGGTTGGCTGGGTTTTTGTTTTGTTCTGTTTCTGTTTTTTTTTTTTTTTTTTTTCTATGTTTCTAGTGTTTTTGTAAATGATACAACTCAACACTAAAGAGTGAAGCGGCTTTGAATGGATCAGAGGAGAATGCAATGAGAGACCCTTTTCTCTTGGTTCTGAGTCAACACATTTAACCTGCTCTGGAATTTCTAGTTCTATGAAACTGGATGTATCTTATATCTCTCTGCGATGTGGGATTTTCCTCTTTCTTGAGGGCCATTTGGTCACAAAACGGGATATGAGTTTGATTTGTCAAACTGTGGCTCCGATTTATTGGGGACTTTGAGAAAATGACTATTTTAGCAAGTAGTCATTTCTTAGTTTAGTTTTGCTTTTTCCCTGCCTCCCCTCCATGATGACATGGAGCAACTTCAAGTGCAGTTCAGTCAACAGAAGAGAATACTCCGAGTTATTGGACATATCACCAACTGTTTTTAAATCTCCAGTCTGAAATGGCGAACAACAGCACGCCCCAAATTATGCAACTGACGGGTGTAACTGGATACAGTCACAGTGCTGTTCAGTTGTTTAGGTCAGTATTGTCTCAGATGATCTGGGCAGAGAATTCCACAGTAAGTGATTAGGAACTAGGCAAAAGGCTCGTATATGTTTCCCAAGGCAGTTGTGATGCAGGGTCTTGTGACAGACTTGTTCACACCCTGCACACTATTACAGTAATTTTTGTATAAGGCATGTCTTGTGAGGTACCATTTAAAAATTCATAATTTGCTATACAATAGTATGGAAAAGTACACATAGCAGCACTGTATGTAATGTAATAAACACAAGCTGAAATCATGGCTAAAAGTATGCTTGGCAGATAAACCTGAGGAATGGCCAAAAAGAATTCCTCAGAGATCAAATGACACCTCAGCCGAGTGTAAACAAGGCTGATGGACCATGCTAAGTGGCAGGAAAGGGGGTAAGAGCAAAAAAATCTGCATTTTAGGCCTTGTCTACACTACAGAGTTTTTTGTTAACAAAATGATGCCGCTTTAATTAAAACACTTTAATTAAACTGCTGTTGTATGTTCACACTATACTTCTTGTGTTGGCAGAGCGCATCCACACTAGAAGGTCTTGCACTGACACACAAAGCAGTGCACTGTGCAACAGGACACAGGCCGCTTTGGAAAGGGCTTGCATGATGCAGGTTTCTCAATCCCATTGTTCCAGGGGCATCCTACTAGATTGCCAGCTGTTTTTCAATGGAAGTGTGTGTGAGGAAGTGTGTGACAGGGAGTGTGTGTGGGGGGGAGAAACAAAGACAGAGTGTGTCTTGAGGGAGAGTGAGTATGTCGGCATTCTGTCTCTTTAAGTTCAGTCAGCAGCCAGAAGCAACCAGTCCTGAGGTAGGGGACGGATGCACACACGCGCGCACACACACCCCAGCCCCTCCCTGGCTCTGCACAGCAGAGCAATCCCACCCACAGCAGCAGCCTACCTGCCGTTGTGTTCCTAGTGCAGGGGAGAGCAGGAGGCTTCCATGTTAATGATTTGCTCTTTGCTGCCGGAACGGAGCAGCATGCTCAGCTGTCAGAACTTCCTAGAGCTTTGAAAGGGGAGGGGCACACGCCGAATTCAAAACAGTGAGCAGAGTGGTCACTGCGGGCATTCTGGGATACTGGGGGACGCCAGTTATGGCGTCATAATGAATTGCAGCATCTATACTGATGCTTTGTCACTTTAACTTTGCAGCAAAAAGCTCCGTCTCTCTCATCTAAGTGGTTTGGTTTTCTCGGCAAAAGTAGCATTGTAGCGTGTGCACCTCCACTGTTTTGTCGGCAAAAGCTGCCTTTTGCTGACAAAACTGTAGTGTAGACAAGGCCTTAGCAAAGAAACAGCATGGAGTTCTCGTGCACACATCTCCTGTAGCCTTGCTCCCACCTGGAAATGCTTCTCAAAGGGTAAGTCCAGACTACCCGCTGTATCGGCGGGTAGCGATCGATTTATCGGGGATCGATATATCGCGTCTCGTTAAGACGCGATATATCGATCCCCAAACGCGCTCCCCGTCGACTCCGGAACTCCACCGGAGCGAGCAGCGGTAGCGGAGTCAATGGGGGAGCCGCAGCCATCGATCCCGCGCCGTGAGGACCCAAGGTAAATCGATCTAAGATACTTCGACTTCAGCTACGCTATTCACATAGCTGAAGTTGCGTATCTTAGATCGATATCCCCTCCCCCCCCCCAGTGTAGACCAGCCCAAAGGGGGAACAGGACTATAAAAAGAAGGGGCAGACACCTCTCAAAACACTTCCCTCTCTCTCCCTGTCCATTGCATTCTCTGCAACTGAGAAGACAAAATGACACCGCTGTTGAGCTTGGGGGAGGGGTCCTGGCCTAAAGAGTTTGGTCAGTGAGACCGCTGAAGCATGTAGGTGAGAAAATTTTGCTTTGAAACTAGACATTTCTTAAGTCTGTGTTAGTGAGCATTTATCTTTGTTTTTCTTGTAACCATTTTAACTTTTATGCCTCATTACCTGTACTCATAAAATCTGTCTCTTTGTAGTTAATAAACTTGTTTTCTGTTTTCTATAAGCCAGTGCGTTTCAACTGAAGTTTCTGAATAACTAAGGCTATGTTTACGTCACGGAGGTCATGGAAGTCACGGAATCCGTAACTTCCAAAGACCTCCATGACATTCTCTGCTTCAGCCCTAGGGGCTGCGACACTTCTGAAGCTGGCAACCAACGGGGCCCTGCAAGGTTCCAGCGACAGGTGACAGACTCCTGAGGGAGCCCTCCTCAGGGTTCCAGCAATGGGTGACAGCCTCGTGCGGGGGGAAGGGGACGCCGTGGGTGAGTGGCTGGGGGTGTCCTGTTTTCTTTTGGGGAAATACGGTCACCCTGCGTCTCTTGGTTGCCCCCTCCTCCCCCCCGCAGCTTCCAGCTGCTGTGGGCGGCGGGGGAACCCCACAGCTCCCAGCTACCACGGTGCTGGAGGAAGCCATGGAGCCGCAGCAGCAAAAGTCACAGACAGGTCACGGGCAATAAACAAAAATTCACAGACGCCGTGACCTGTCTGTGACTTTTACTAAAAATAACCATGACAAAATCTTAGCCTTACGAATAACTCATTGAAATAAACTGGCATATTATTCTCTTAAAGGTTTACTGGACATCAAATATGTTGTACTGTCCAGGAGGGGGCGGGGCAGCACAGGATATACATTTCTGGGGGAAATCGGGAACTGGGCATGTGTTGCGGTTATACCCTGAAGTATAACCAAGGCTGAGTGTAACCCAAGTGTGGCTGGCAGGCTGCAGTTACACACACACACTCTGGGTGTGGCTTCCATGCTGAAAGGCTGTTTGTGAGCGGCCCAGGCGGGAGCTACTTCAGCAAGGCATTGTAAGGCCTCCAGGATTTCAGGGCAGGGGTAATACAGCTGCTCATTAGGCTGGATTGTACCCTGGTATGTCACAGCTCTACAGGACGTTACTCCTGACGTCATCGCCTAGCTAAGCCTGTGGTTTGGGAAATGCTGTCCCTAACTAGGGCGATGTGCAGGAAATAAAAGTGTGTTTTTGTTGACTTCATCCCTCAGCAGGAACTGCAAATGTCTGTGAAATATAATCAGTGTTGAAGCTGAGAGAGCTGCAGGAAAATAACTATTTTTGCTTAGAAACCCCATCTCAGGTAGCCAACAGAGATTGTGACTGAGGCTTATGTCTAGTTCCTACTGACACCAGTTTAAAGGAATAAATGGCCATGTTTGCAGAAGCTATTCCTGACTAGCACTGCTGAGATTTTGGGTGGTTTATTAAAGGAATCTACTCCAGGGAAGTGTACTTTTAGCACGTTGAAGGGTTTGGCAAGAACTCGGATAGAAATAGCAGGCACCCAGCTGTTGGTTTTTACCCCAGAGAAGGAAGCTATGGAGAGCTATGGTCCACATCAAACTATTTTTAGAATACTGCTCCCTGCTTCAGTGGCATTGATTACAGCCCCAAAGGATGCCAGGGTTAGATGGGAAACAATTGTCCTTTACCATTTGGCACCAAAGTGTCAGGAGGAAAAGAGAGAAAGTTGGTGCCTTCGCAGGACATTCCTTGCCTATGGATTCCAATCTGGCTGCCTGGTTGGACAAAAAGGACATTTGTGGTGGGTGAATGATGGTAACTGTTAGAAGAAAAGGAGCAGGTTGACCCAGAGGTGGATATGAGTACTGGCTTCTTTATTGCGATACTTGTTCCCCTGAACCCAATTGTCCAGTAAGCACCGAATTGATTACAGCACACTCTTTTTGTTTAGATTAGTACATACACGACTACATCCATTACAACACCCCCAAACCCCTTATTAATAGAAACACCCATTGTTAGTAAACCCACCCCTATCCATTACTCATAACATTACACATTACTTTTACCTTGAAGATACATTTATTTGCAACAAATTGTTGCCATAAATCTCCCTCATCAGCAGTTCTCAGGGGTGGGAGGAAGGGTCCGTGAACAGTTCTCAGGGGAGGGGGGGAAGGGGCCGTAAGCCAGGGCTTGTTTATGTAGCTGGAAAAGGGAGGGAGGGGAAGATAAGGATAGAACAAGAAGCAATGGGCTTAAACTGCAGCAAGGGAGGTTTAGGTTGGACATTAGGAAAAAGTTCCTAACTGTCAGGGTGGTTAAACACTGGAATAAATTGCCTAGGGAGGTTGTGGAACCTCCATCTCTGGAGATATTTAAGAGTAGGTTAGATAAATGTCTATCAGGGATGGTCTAGACAGTATTTGGTCCTGCCATGCGGGCAGGGGACTGGACTCGATGACCTCTCGAGGTCCTTTCCAGTCCTAGAATCTATGAATCTATTCCTTTTACCTTCTTTTACACAAAGGGCATTTCTTCTGCAGCTGCATCCTTATCAACCTTTATGAGCAACAGAGATGGGAAGACTCTGGCAACTTATATTTTAGACAAATACTAAAAAAATCTGCAACTTATGTATGAAACAAAGTAATACTAAAGAATGTGTAACTTATGTATTAGACACCAA